CTCCTCAGACCTGACATGGGCTGCCCACATTCAGGTCCAGACCAAAAAGGCTAGGCAGTGCCTGTATCACCTACGACAACTGAGGAAGTTCAGGGTCTCTCCAAAGATCCTCAGGATTTTCTATACAAGCGCTGTGGAGAGCATCCTCACACAGAACATGACATCGTGGTTCGGGAACAGCTGTGTGAAGGACCAAAAAGCTCTCCAGAGAGTGACCGTACAGCAGAACACTGCTGCAGGATTGCTCTCCCCCCGCTTCAGGACACCTACACCAGGAGATGCCGGACTAGAGCAGTGCACATACTGAAGGATCCGTCCCATCCTGGCAACAAACTGTTCCAACCTATGCAATCTGGTAGAAGGTTCATCCGGGCAAGGACAGAGAGACTCAAGAGGAGCTTCTATCCCCAAGCCATCCGGGCCCTAAACACACACACACCCACCCTCTCACATCATCTACAATTGACTGAGACAGGACTCTCTTCCAAACACTCTAAACCCAGGCACAATGTACATTTCAAATCCCTTTAATTTTAAATATGTTTATATTGTCTATCCTGTAAAATAGTCAGATGTCTATTCTTATTAATGTACAGAATTCACCTGCTTGCTGCTACTACTGCACATTCACCCAATGTATATACTATATATATATAATGTTCTTCCTCTAGAGCTGCAGGTATTGCTTAGTGTAAATAAATGTAAAAATGCCAAAGTGATGTATCTAAAAGACAAACATGCTCTTTGACAAAGCCAAGTACACTCTTCATGACACTTCCTTCATCAGTCTGCTGCTGGAGGGCTGCACCATCAAACTCTTCTTCTTCTACGCCGTCACTATGATGATCACCATAGTGAGAGATTATGGAGCCCACAAGGAGAGGAAAGTGGCCACGATCATAGGAGCTTAAGGGTTTGAGTGCTCTGAATACCATGGGGACTGCTGTTGCCTTTACCCTACACATCTTCTTGATCCCTTGGTACTTATCAAGCTTTTTATCTTCCCTCTTCCTGATGTTGCTGTCAGTTGGTATTGATACGTCTATCAATACGGCTATCTTCCTCCGCTTGTCCACCAGTACTATGTCCGATTGATTTGTCTTCTGTATCTAGAAGTCCCACAGGATCTTAGGTCGGTCATTCTCAACCACTGTAGGGGGCATCTCCAATTTTGACCTTGGGACTTTGGTTATGGCGTTCCATGTATGCCCTGTCTACTGGCATCTTGCACCCTGCTGTTATGTGCTGGATTGTCTCAGAGGCGTCTATACACTAGTGATGGGATCTCCGGCTCTTTTTAGAGAACCGGCTCTTTTGGCTCGGCTCACTAAAAAGAGTGAGACGATTACTGTATTACTGTGGCTTCTTACCTCACTTCAAAGACACATCACTACTTTACACAGCCTGCACCTGGGGTCTTGGCTGGTTTGGTAGACCCCAGCCTTTATGGAGCTCTTTCGGCTCCCAACCGGATCTTCAGGTTATTTTGTTGCTTTAATTAATTTATTATTAACAACAATAAAAAATTATGCACAAAAGGAATTACTAATGTAAAAAAAACTTGGTTTTGTTTATATATGTTTATCTATAAATATATACGGTGGCCCCTAGAGACAAAGCACGTACAATCTCCAAAGCATGTACAAATTCCAAAGCACGTACAAAACACATTTCTAGCATTAACTGAACTTCCAAAACTGCTAATCAGGTAGCAAAAGAGCTACCTAGATCACTTAAATTACACAACTGAAAGCATATGTGTATTGTTTGTGTATTTATACATAAGCTTTCATATATATTCAAATAATTCGAAAAAATTTTCATTTACCTGTTACTACCACACACCAAATCTGGTCGTTGGTACTTCCTGGCTTGTGCAGCCACTAAGTAACAAAAGCTCAACATTGCCCCTAGCATCCTGGAGCACTTCTGTTGGAGTTTGCTTTGAAGTTTGTACGTGCTATGGAGTTTTTACGTGTTTTGGAGTTTGTACGTGTTTTGGAGTTGTACGTGCTTTGGCTATAGCGGCCACCATAAATATACTTCTTATTCATTCACTCCACATAAAATGTAATAAATAAATCATATAATACAAAAACCAACTATTTCCGTTTCAGCTTTTAACTATTTAAATTTTCAGCTTTTTCCTTTTAAAAGTCAAAGACAATTAAATATAAATTAAAATATGAAAACAAAAAGAAGATGCACATTCTCTGTCACATGGGCCTGCTTGAATAAACTTTCCGAATCCTTTATCATCTGCAACTAAAAATGGTTGTGGATGATCACTATACCTTTCTAATGTGACGTTGTTGTCCCTGGCTCTCTTTCTCTCTTTCCCTCTGGCTCTGTTCCTGTGCTACTGCGAGTGTAACTACCGCCCCTCCCCCCTCTGCCCAGCGCAAAGCACAAGGCTTGTGTGCGGAGTGAAGCGGAAAAAAAGTGTGAGAGAAAGGGTGAGAGAAAGGAAAAAAAAAACAACCCACGGAGCCGGCTCGCGTCGTTCACTTCAAAGGCACATCACTACTTTACACAGCCTGCACCTGGGGTCTTGGCTGGTTTGGTAGACCCCAGCCTTTATGGAGCTTGTTCCTATGCTGCTATGATTAATGCCTTTTTGCTGTCTTTCCATCCAGCTTTGTCCAACAACTATCTATTGTCTAACAACAAATATCTGCCACTTTCATTATCTGACAGGGGTGCATGCGTGCTGGGGCATGTCCTTCCATGGTGGTTCTTCTCCTTTCTCCTCTTCTTTCTCTGATTTCTGATTAATTCACTAAGCACATGATTAGTTGTGGCAATCCTCCTGATGTAATCATGGATCTTTGTTGTTTCATCCTGGATAGTGGTTCTGTGTACTCACAAGTTCTCAGCTTCCTTCCTCCCGCTAAGTGTACAGTCTCTAGGTGCTGGACGTGGGATGTAACTCATCACATATGGTCAGGAGCTCCCTTGTCTTAATGTGGCTTTTATCTCCTCCTTTGGCCAGCTTATTATCCCAGCAGGGTGTCTGATGGCTGGCAGTGTGTAGATGTTGATTTTTTTTTATTTTTATCTTGCCCGGCAGCTTTTCAATCAAAATTATGATCTCACTGTAATGTTGTGCCAAACATTTGCTTTTCCATCAAACACTATAAAAACTCTTTATAGGCTTGTTTTGTTTTTGCCAATTTATTGATTTCTATTTTTATTATTTTACTATTATTCACAGTACATGTGGAATATAGCAATGTCAGTGCTGCCAGGCAGAAAAAAAGACACAAATGAAAAAGAAAATGGGAGAAAATAGAAGAAATAAATAACAATAAGAAAGAAGACGAAGACACAGCACAAGTAGAAAAGCAAAACGGTTCAATCACAATTTTAGAACTGCACAAATGAGGTAAGGGCCTGTGTCTGTGCCTTTGTTTACATACTTGATGAAGAGGGTAAGAAGCCACAGTAATGCAGACCAAGGCCTCATGCCAAAGTGCAAGAACAGAAGCTAATCTTTGCATCGCACACCTGTTATGTAGTCAGGTGATTAAATGTAGAGGGGAGTGGCTGCTCCGTTCTGCCGAGAACGAAACTAAAAGTGAGATCAGTTGACAGAGCAGGAGAAATAAAGCAAGGTGAGTGTAACTGCGAATACATGTTCTGTCAGAATAATCAAAAACGTTTTTTTGAGTTTCTGACTGTTCTCAAGTTGGAATAAAACTTAAGAAAGTCAGCAAAAATGTTTGTTTGATTGTCTGCCCAAAGGAAAATATTGACTTACTGTGTGTGCGTGCGTCGGTGTGTGTAATTCTTGTGCTACCAGTATTGGGTGTGACAAACATGTTTATTATGATAATTGTTCTGTGCTCGTTCTTTGTTTCGCTGCTTTCTTTCTCAGACTAACGATGAGTGAACTGAAGGAACCTGGACCCTCAGACATAAAGTAGGGCACTGATTCTTCTTTTAAACTAAAGGGAAGATGAATCATTTGGCAGGAGATACTATTATTTGGATTAGCAAGCACAGCATAAACTTACTGACAAAGGAGTGAAGGAGTGCTTCTGTTTCATTGTAACTATACACAAGCAAGCACATAAGTACGGTGGGAGAAGTGAGCAGGATAACATAAAAACATGCATTAATGTCAGATTTTATATGATATAAAGGGTGCTCAGTGGAAACTCTTTCTGCTGCTGCTTCAAAGATTTGGGTCTGATCAGAAAGACTACACAGGGGACGGTAATAATCAGAGTGTAATACTATTCTCTCAGCACTACACTCTCACTGTTTCTCAGTCTTTACACAGTCACGATCAGAGTTTAAGATAAGGATTGAAGAGGAAAAGATTAAACATTTACTGAAGACATCACATGTTTTAGCCTCATAAACCCAACCCTGAGGGAGAAGAAGCTCAGTACCAAACAACAGGAACATGCACAAGACAAATGTATGATTTTTTCTGTTTGTGTTTCCAGCTGTCAGCAATGCAGACACAGTGCAGAGCTTTCAAGACCCAGCTGTGTGTCTTTGAAGACTAACCAGTCCAAAGTTGAAAACCTAATCTTCAGTAAAGAACCTGGACTCTCAAACACAAAGTAAGTCAGTGTTTATTCTGTAAATGAAGCTGAAGACAATTCATGATAAGAGAACCACTGTTGTTTTACAGTAACTGTTAGACCACCTTCACTCAACTCTAACAATGCAAAGCTTCTGTGAGGATGTTGAAAATCTGTGTATTTCCCCACACGAAAAAAAACTTACCCACAGCAAGCAGGTCTGGCCCGGATCTGGTATTAAGCCGGCACTGCTGGCCAACTTCTGGTATGATAAGACGTATGTCATCCAGATATGGGCCAGGCCTGGCATAAATGGCACTGTCTATGCAATGGCATGCCATATCTGGCCCGAATATGGTTTGGTTTATGTGGCCCAGGCCCATAGAAAACAGCTCTGGCCAGGATCCGGCATCAAGCTGGCACTTCTGACTGACGGTTGTTATGGCAGGGTGTATGTCAACCAGATATGGGCCAGGTCTGGCAACGACGCTCCTGTCTATGCAATGGCATGCCATATCTGGCCCGATTATGGTTTGGTTAATTTGGACCAGGCCCACAGAAAACAGCTCTGGCCGGGATCCGGCATCAAGCCGGCACTTCTGACTGACTGGTGTTATGGCAGGGTGTATGTCAACCAGATGTGGGCCATGTCTAGCAATGATGCACTATTTATGTTCCTATTTTCCTATTTTAGTTAGAAGACAGACTCAAATGCCATGTTTGTTTGTTTAGAAGACCCAAATGCCATGTTTGACAGGTTTGTGAGTGTACACTTTATCCAAAACCTAGTGAGGGTTTACTCATCTTTGCCAGTGGGTGGCTGTAACTCAGGTGGTAGACCAGGTCACCTATTGATCGGAAGGTTAGTGGTTCGATCCCTGGCTCCTCCAGTCTGCATGTCGTGAGTGTGAATGTGTATGAATGTAGTTAGGAAGCACTCAGTTAAGAGAAAGTGTGTGGTTGGGTGAATGGGGCATGTTGTATAGAACACTTTGAGTAATTTGGGAAAGTTGAAAAATATTATATCAGAACTGAAACTGTTCTGGGGCAGCACAGGACCACCAGTGTGTCTGCAACTGGCCTTGTGCTGGCACATGTGTGGGCCACCTCTGACAAACCAGATCTGGGCCCCCAAAGGGACGTCATTCTTTGCAGTATGTGGGCCATGTGTAAGCACATCATGTGGGCCAGATCCGGGCCATACCAATTTTGCTATGTGGGTATCTGGTGTGAAAAGCTCACTGATAAACACATCAAGGAGTTCTTCTATTTTAATGTATCTGTATACATGCACAGCTAAATATAAGTAAGCAGGATATCCTGACATAAAGATCAGATTTTGGATGATAAAGATCTCAAATCTTTAGTCTCTTTAGAGGCATGATGGTTAAAACAAAACAAAACAAAACAAAACAACTGCACAAAAACCCAAATGAAGCAATACATAATTATAAACCTTTGTTTTTAGTAGACTTTGTATCCTAAATAGTGAATATAGTATGTATAGTATAGTAAAATACAGTAAACTTCAAGTCTTCACAAATTAGAATATTTGACTTATTCCCAGAAATGCAAACCAAGCTCTTGCTATAGGCAACATGTAGACACTGCAGAGCCCATAGTAATGGGCCATATACTCCATTCTCCTGAAAGAATCCTCCAGTGGACAAACCAAGAAGTTGATACTTGAATAAGTGCACAAAATACATGTAGACTGGTTGAGCAAACTTGTTTCAAACCAAGACTTGAGTTTCGAGTTTTAATGTGCTTCTTTAGTCACTTCTTTGTTGACATGGAGGTATGCTTTGAGTCACTGTCATGATGGAAGTCCCAACCATGAGCCATCCTCAGTGTTCTGGTTGAAGGAAGGAAGTCCTTGTCTAAGATTTTGCACTACATGGCCCCACCCATTGGCCATTTTTGAAGCTGTCTTGTACACTTAGCAGAAACACAGCCCCAATGCATATTGTTTCTGCCTCTGTGGGGATGCCGTTCTTTGGGTCCTACTCAACATTTCTCTTACACCAAACATGGTTGGTCATGTTGACACCAAAGACCTTGATTTTGGTTTCACCTGAAACAAGACTTTTACTTGAGCCTTCTTGGAATCATTGACAAACTTAAGATGGGCCATTAAATCCTTCCATTCACTTCCACTTATCCCATTCAGGGCCATGGGAGAGCTGGAGCCTATCCCAGTTGTCGTGGGTGAGAGGTGGGGTACACCCTGGGAAGGTTTCCAGTCTAATCGCAAAGCTAACACAAAGAGACAGACTCCTATGAGCAATTTACAATCACCAATTAACCTAACTCCACTAACTGCACATCTTTGGACTGTGGGAGGAAGCCAGAGTACCGGGAGAAAACTCGACAAGGGGAAAATTCAGTTTCGAATGGCCCTTAGCAATGGGTCAGACACTCCATGCTCCCGAAGCCCAACAGGACTTCTTCTTTAGTCTGATGGTTTCCTTCATCTCTGGTGTGTGTAGGTGTGTCCTACTCTATGTGCTAGAAATGTTATGTTCCAGGAAGTGTGAGTTTAACCACATTTCCATGTAGCACATCCAACTATACTCATATCCATTCTGGGTCTTAATTAAGGCTCCAGGCTTGTTCTTGAAAACTTGCATTTTTTCCCTCTCAATTAAATTAGGCTCTGCAGCCTTTCCATGCTTTGTGATTGGCTCCAACAGCCAACTACAGACTGATCATGACCATGATATATATTTGTCAGTGCTAGTATTAAATTTTAGCACTTCTGGCTTTACTGTGCTTTGTTTTGATCAGAATATTTTTTCCATGGTTTTCACAGTGTGGAGGAGCAGATGTCCTGCTGTACTTCCTATCAGGATTTTAAAAAGGATCTGGTCTCTACCAGCTGTGGATGCAGACAGTCCATCTCCTTGCACCAGTCTGCTTCATTAGAAGTCTCTTCAGGCATTCAGAGAAACTATGAAAGTAAGCTCTGTCTGATTATTTCATTTCTGAAAGCTGGACTTCTTGTGTTGTTCAGGTATTAAAAGCTAAAATAAAACGTGGTGCCTTGCCAAATGAGCAAAGGACAAAGCACAAAATATACCCAAAGGGCCTTTATTCTTAACAAATTGAATTCTAAAAAAAAAACAACAACAATTCAAGTGCATCAGCAACTATAGTGGCTTGTCTTCTTCTAGTGCGTTGCTTAAAGCTCACTCACAAATGCACAGTTGAAGTGGTCCAAATCCATAAATGGTAAGGAAAACCAATGGACTTTATCCGTTAGGCCTGCAAGGTCATTCAGCATTCAACTACACCAACCAGCCTAGAGGGACTGGTTTGGTCCAAAAATCTGAGGCGTAGCTCTCCCCCTTGGCCTGGTTGAGAAGAAACTTCCTTTTCCCTGTCTCTCTCCCCCCATCCATTTTTCTATAACATCCAGTTATAATATATATTTTGCTTTATGTTCATTGATTTTCATTCTTTTAGCAGATAGTCGTCTGCTGCAGAAGTTGTTAGACGAACATAAGGCTAATCTGGGGAGGAGATGTAAACGTTTGACTGAAGGAACAGGAAGTGGAACCCTATTTAACAGGATCTTCACTGAGCTCTACATCACAGAAGGACAGAGTGAAGAGGTTCATACCCAACATGAGGTGTGGCAGCTGGAGACAGTTTCCATGAACAAGGCCCTCCATGACACTCCAGTCAGCTGTCATGACATTTTTAAAGCCTTGCCTGACCAACAGAGATGCATCAGAGTGGTTCTGACAAATGGCATTGCCGGCATTGGAAAAACTTTCTCAGTGCAGAAGTTCACTCTGGACTGGGCAGAAGGTTTGGAGAACCAACGTGTCAGTGTGGTGATTCTGCTTTCATTCAGGGAGCTAAACCTGATCAGAGATGACCGGTACAGTCTTCTGGACCTGCTCCATGTTTTCCATCCAACATTACAGAAGGTCACAGCAGAGCAGCTCACTGTCTGCAAACCTTTGTTCATCTTTGATGGCCTGGATGAAAGCAGACTTTCATTGGATTTCACTAAAGGGAAGCTTGTGTCTGATGTCACACAGAAGTCAACAGTCAGCGAGCTGCTGACAAACCTCATCAAAGGGAATCTGCTTCCCTCAGCTCTCATCTGGATAACTTCCCGACCTGCAGCAGCCAATCAGATCCCTCCGATATGTGTTGACAGGGTGACAGAAGTACGAGGCTTCACTGATGCCCAGAAGGAGGAGTACTTCAGGAGGAGATTCAGTAATGAAGAGGTGTCCAGCAGATTCATCTCCCACATGAAGACATCCAGGAGCCTTCACGTCATGTGTAGAATCCCAGTCTTCTGCTGGATCACTGCTACAGTCCTAGAGCACATGTTGACTACAGAGCAGAGAGGAGATCTGCCCAAGACCCTGACTGACATGTACTCACACTTCTTGCTCGTTCAGACAAAGAGACAGCACAAGTACCATGAGGGATATGAGACGAGTCCACAAGAGCTGACAGAGGCTGACAGTGAAGTTCTTCTGAAGCTGGGGAGGCTGGCCTTTGAAAATCTTGAGAAAGGAAACATCATGTTCTACCAAGAAGACCTGGAGCAGTGTGGTCTGGATGTCACAGAGGCCTCAGTGTACTCAGGAGTTTGTACAGAGATCTTCAAACGAGACTGTGTGATATTCCAGAAATCAGTCTATTGCTTTGTTCATCTGAGTATTCAGGAGTTTTTGGCTGCAGTCCATATGTTTCACTGTCATACTAACAGAAAAACAGAAGTGCTGAAGCATTTTCTAGGGAATGGTGAACATGTTTATTGTGGTGACATCTCGTCTTTAGATGTCTTTCTGAGCAGAGTCATGCAGAAATCCCTCCAAATTAAAAATGGACACCTGGACCTGTTGGTCCGATTCCTTTATGGTCTCTCTCTGGAGTCCAACCAGAGACTCTTACGAGGTCTGCTAGGCGAGACAGAGAGCACTCCAGAAATTATACAGCGAATAATCAGCAACCTTTGCAAGATAACCAATGAGAATACCTCTCCTGACAGATGTATCAACATCTTCCATTGTCTGATGGAAATGAATGAACTCACGGTACATCAGGAGATCTTGGAGTTTCTGAAGTGCAAAAACAGATCAGAGAAGGAGCTCTCTGAGATCCACTGCTCAGCTCTGGCCTACATGCTGCAGATGTCAGAGGTTTTGGATGAGTTTGTCCTGAAGAAGTATAACACATCGGATGAGGGACGAAGGAGACTGATTCCTGCTGTGAGGAACTGTAGAAAGGCTCAGTGAGTAAATATCTGATTAACATTGTAAATCAATGTAAATTTGTAGCTAAGGTGTTCAAAAGTTCTTACTATAATGCTCTCATTGTTCTTTCTTATAATTCCATTTTTTTATATTGCAAACAATACACTGGTTAGATTTTCACAGATGCTGTTGAGCTGCTCTGAAAATGTTGTTTGTTTTTTACAGTAAGTAAGAATTACTGTAACAATGCATTGTAATGATGCATTACTGTTTGCTTACAAACTCTAACTAATTACGACCACAGTAAATAGACTAAATGTGAAATTGCACTAAAATCTTCAGGTCTGAGAGAGACTGAGGAGAATTATTGTTTCATGTTACACATGTTAACACAAATCTCTATCCCAGGGGTAGGGAACGTTAGTCCTCGAGACTAGGTTTTAGATCTCACCCTGGGTCACCACACGTGAATCAAATGATTAGTTCATTACCAGGCCTCTGGAGAACT